ATTGATTTGATGCTGAACATAATCTTTGAGATACAAATGCCTACTTTGTCCATTAAACCTTGGAAGTAATGAAAAGGCAGAAATACACATATGTCTGATCAAAAGGGGGAGAATTGTGGAACTGTGAATCAACCTCAGAAGTGTCAGGACAAGAGCTATGTACCTGTCCACCGCCACTCTGATGTCCACTCACCAGATACCCACTTGCCTGACTCACGTGCCCTGCTGCTCATTAATCTGACCCTGGGTCACTAACCACGCCCAGCCTCCTTTCCAGATCTAACCACACCACCACAAAATAGTATCCTACCCTGTTTACTATGGTCCTGGGACATAGAGTCACTAAACCACATTGGTTGTTAGTTAATAGCTATCATCACGTCGGCTCCTACACAGAGCGACCTCATGAAAAAAAAAAAAAAAAAACACTGCCTGGTCCTGTGCCGGCTTCACAATCGTTGGCAAGTCTGGGGCCAAGAATGTGGCCACTATACGTTTTCAGAGCCGTTCAGCCAGGAGGCTCATCTTCCAATACTATCTCAGACTACGTTCCATTCTGATCCATAGCGTTTTCACTGCCTGATTACAGTCCGTCACCAAGACTTTGTTCCTGGTCTTACCTTGGAAGCCCTGCTGAAACCTGTCCACCATGGGTGACCCTGTTGGTATTTGAAATACCAGTGGCGTAGATTCCAGCCCCACAGCATCATGGAGGCCACCACAGAGGGACAGAATGACAGACAGGGAGAGAGGGGAGGCCGGGGTGGGGGTGCAGAACTCTCTGCAGAGGCTGCCTCATCTTTCTCTCATGGAGCAGATGTTGGATTCGAAGCTCCAGCCTCTTGCATAGCAGGGGTGCTTACCTGCTGTACCACCAGGGCTGCAGCCAAGCCCTTAAAAAGAAATCTCCCACAAGTCTGTGTCCTGGGAAAAGGCTTACCACAACCAGCTGGCCAGGATGGACATCATTGTCTTCTCTGCTAAACCCTTCTGCTGACAGTCCTCCTTCCCTTGGTCTTTACGATCTCCAGGCAAACGCCCATGGAATCCCTCATGGCCCTCTTCCTCCTGCGGATCTCCTGGGGTCCAGGTGGTCTCCTCACAGAGAAGAAGGCATTCTGAACACAGGGTCCTCAGCACGATGACTCCTCCATCCCAGTGGTTGACCCCCAACTTTCCTTTAAAAACTTTATAGTTGTTTCTCTTGATGAAATAAGAGCCAGGTTCTCTTTGGTATCTCTCGCCACAGAGACAGGAGCCAGGGTCAGTGGTTCAGTCCATAGTTGGATGGATGGATGGATGGATGATTGAGAAATGGATGGATAGATGGACAGTGAGTGGTTGTGTGGAGAGATGGTTAGATGGATGGATGGATGATGGATGAATAGGTGGATGAATGGATGGATGGATGATTGAGGAACAGATGGACAGATGGACAATGAGTGGTTGTGTGGAGAGATGGTTGGATGGATGCATGGATAGGTTGGCAGATGCATGGGTGAGTGGATGAATGGATGGCATGGTGGACAGATGGACAGATAGATGGAGGTTGATGAGTAGATGGGCCAGTGGGTGGGTAGGTAGATGGATGATGGATGGTTGGGTGGATGGATGGATAGATGAATATATTGGTAGGTGGATGGGTGAGTGGATGAATGGATGGGATGGTGGATGGGTGAATGGATGGATGCAAGGAGAGATGGGGCATTGGTGGGTAGATGGGTGGGTAGGTAGGTGAATTGATGGGTGGATAGATGGATGAATGGATGGATGGGTTGGTGGGTGGATAGGTGAGTGGATGAATGGATTGCTGGGTGGATGGGCAGGTAGGTGAGTAGATGGATGGAAGGATGAATGATGGATAGGTGGGTGGATGGATGGTTGATGGATGAATGGATGGATGGGTGCATTGGTGAGTGGATGAACGGATGGACAGATGGCTGTAGGAATGCATGGATGACCAAGTGTTTGGGAGGCTGTCGCATTTTTTTCTAGGACAGGAGACACTTGGGAGCTGTGACGTCTTCTCTTGACCATCCTTTCCTACAACAGAAGGAAGAAGGCTACACTGCAGAGTTGATGGACTAGAAACAAGGTCCTGCACACAGCGGAGATTACAGATTCCAGTTCCCTGCCTGCATGTTAAGTCGCCAGGAATCCCTTGGAGTGAGTGACAGTACCCTCTCTGGCTTCTCACCCAGCAATACCCTCGGTGACACCCACCAGGAGGAGAGCCGTGGGAAAGAACCAACCTTTCCTCACGCCAAATTCCTGGAAGAGCTTGCTGGACCCATTGACATTCACATTTTCATTTCACAGTACGTGAGCCCCAACAATTTGTTGTGGTCAGGGAAAAAAAAAAAGTCCCCAGTGGAGGAAGTAGAAAGAGGAGACAATGCAGTCAAACATTTATTAAAGTCTCCAAAAGCCAATACCAGCATCCTAGGTGGAATAGAAGTCAATGTGGGGGGGGTTGAATGTCATTCCCAAGTCTGGTGTCCCTGCTTCTCCCAGGCCAGCTCTCCATGGGACTCTGCGAAGCCAAGACTGTGCAGACTCTGAGAAGATTGGAAGAAGTCAAGAAATCATTAGCTGAAGAAAACACAGAAACAGAAGGGTCCCAAGAGACCACACACAGTCAGTGTTCAGAGACGGATTTGTTACCAAGCATGTTCTCTGTGTGAAATGTTTTCCTAGACACAGTGGTTTGGATGGGAGCAAATAAGTGTTGTCCTGGGAGAGCCCCAAGCCCACCCTCATGTTCATTGACTCCCCGGAAGGACTCAGAACTCAGAAGAGCCGTTTCCATAGCGCTGGATTATCACACCAATGATAGTTAGATGAAAGGATATGCATTAAGGTGGATGGACGGATCAGTAAGTGGATGGGCAGCTAGGTGAGTGCGTGGCTGGAAGGATGAATGATGGGTAGGTGTCTGGAGCAGGACCCAGGAGGGTACCAGGTAGGAGATCTCTTTCTCCTGTTGCCGCAGGGTTGTGGACAACACTCACCTCTCCCAGCAGTGCTCTGGAGAATTAAAAACCAGAGAAGCTCACCTAAACCCTGGTGCCCACTGTTTTCATTGGAGGATGAGTCGTTAAACGTGAAGAGCTCATATGGTTGACTGTAATTATATAACCCCCAAGCTCTCTAGATGTTGTGCCCAAGACTGCCACCATGAAACCTATAGTTGGCATAGACTCTCTGTTAGGTCCCAGGGACCCACGATGAATCCTATTGTTAACACTGCCCATCTGGGGTGGCCAGTGGGAATCAACTCCACGGCAGTGGGTGTGGTTTGGGCTTTGCGTCTGTGAAGACTGACAGCCTTGGAGACCCTGTGGGGCAGTTCCACTCTGTCCTCTAGGGGCGCTGTGGGTCAGAATGGACTCCAGGGCAGTGGGTGTGGTTTGGGCTTTGCTTCTGTGAAGACTGACAGCCTGGGAGACCCTGTGGGCAGTTCCACTCTGTCCTCTAGGGGCGCTGTGGGTCGGAATGGACTCCAGGCAGTGGGTGTGGTTTGGGCTTTGCTTCTGTGAAGACTGACAGCCTGGGAGACCCTGTGGGCAGTTCCACTCTGTCCTCTAGGGGCGCTGTGGGTCGGAAGGGGCTCCAGGCAGTGGGTGTGGTTTGGGCTTTGCTTCTGTGAAGACTGACAGCCTGGGAGACCCTGTGGGCAGTTCCACTCTGTCCTCTAGGGGCGCTGTGGGTCGGAAGGGGCTCCAGGTTAGTGGGTTTTACGACTGCTGGTGCCTGTACCTGCTCTGGAAATTTGTGATAGTCAGTAGGCACAGTCATAGGGGTCGAACAGCAGACAGAGCTGCCTGACTGGCCGCTGAGTCCAGCCCTGTCCACGCCCCTCTTCTTATCAGAATGCACCCACACACACCCTGCCCTAACTGTCTCCCACCCCAGCATGAGCTCCTCCTCGGTGGTTCAGTTGCAGCAGCACCTCTTCCTGAAGCTGCTCCCTCCCAGTGAAGGCTGGACACTGCAGGGAATGTCCAAGCCCCTCTGTGTGACCCTGCTCATCACCGTGGACCCTCTCATTGGCTCCGTCCCATTGTGGCTGTGAGCCCACATCCCATCTGCTCTGCTAAACCTGAATACCTGGGGACGCTCAGGAGAATGAGGAACCAAAGTCAGCTGTTCAGTCCATGGATGGATGGATGGATGATGGATGGATGAATAGGTGCATGGATGGTGGATGAATAGGTGGATGGATGGATGAATACATGGATGGATGGATGATTGAGGAATGGATGGATAGATGGACAATGAGTGGTTGTGTGGAGGGATAATTAGATGGGTGGATGGATGATGAATGAATAGGTGGATGGATGGATAGATGGATGGATGGGTGGATGGATGGATGACTGAGGAATGGATGGATAGATAAACAATTAGTGGTTGTGTGGAGGGATGGTTAGATAACTGGATGGACTGATGGATGGATGGATAGGTTGGCAGATGCATGGGTGAGTGGATGAATGGATGGAATGGTGGACAGATGGATAGATAGATGGAGGTTGATGAGTGGATGAGTCAGTGGGTGAGTAGGTAGATGGATGATGGGTGGTTGGGTGGATGGAGGGATAGATGAATATACTGGTAGGTGGATGGGTGAGTGGATGAACGGATGGGATGGTGGATGGGTGAATGGATGGATGCAAGGAAAGATGGGGCATTGGTGAGTAGATGGGTGGGTGGGTAGGTGAATAGATGATTGAAACCTGAAGTACCTGGGGATGCCCAGGAGAAGGTCTCGTGAATGAGATTGGATGGGAGTGGCTCGTGCTGAAGCAGGGGAGTGAGGGAGCCCCCAGCGTAGAGGTGAAGACCGTCTGGGCACCGGTGTGAGCAGCTTCTGTGAGCAGAGCCGGTGGGACATGGAGGCAGGATTATCTTCTTCTCTACATGGGTGTGAAAGTGCGTGTCTTAGTCAGGGCTCTGCAAAGAAACAGAATCAGTGAGGCTGCTGTGTGCACAAATATACATAGATACTGAGAATGATGGTCAATCAGATCGATAGATAGATGGATGGAGTGAGGGGTGTATGGAGGGATGGATGGAGAGAGAGAGGGATGGACAGATAGATAGATGGACAGATGGATGGATGGGTGGATGGATGGGTGGATGGATAGATCAATGGATGGATGGATGTTGCTTAGGGATAGACAGGTGGAAGACTGGATGGATGGATGGATGGATGGATGGATGGATAGATGGATGGATGGATGGATGGATGGGTGGATGGATGGGTGGATGGATAGATCAATGGATGGATGGATGTTGCTTAGGGATAGACAGGTGGAAGAATGGATGGATGGATGGATAGACGGATGGATAGACAGGTGGAAGA